GTTCGCTCTTTTGTAATAGCATAGGAAATTCCTTCTATATGAGCCTACTCCCTATTTTCCCAAAACTAGTGGTTATTTCTCTTAATAAACCTTACTAAAATGAAGATTTAATTAAGTAAAATGCTTTTACAAAATTCAATAAACTGAATGAATCACAATAGTGTTTTCGAATATATGCCAAAGAGTCCATGCAAATTTCATAGTTAGTGTTGCATGGTCTTCGGCGGCTACTGTACTTATGGCATAATAATTTAATGGACACTGGGACATTAGCTTCTATGTTGAAGATATATATCAAGGCATATGTAGGAAAACTTGAACAAGTGCAAAGTAGACATCAAGTGAAAAATCGGAGAATATAGTAACTTCAATTTTTACCTAACATTGCTGCTGTCATGGCGTTTGCTTTTTAGCTATGAAAAATAATTTAAGCCAAAATTGATATGTTTGAATGGAGTTGACTTTGCGGGAACTTTAATAGCTACAGTGAAAGAAACGAATCCTATGAGAGCGCTGGCCGAATTATAAAGTCTACCTGCTATATAGTGCTTAACCTTTGACTCAGTTGTAAAAAAGGGGTGGCCTTGGCAGAGTTAGAACCCACGAAAGGAATAGGAGAGTTTTATTACAGCAAACGCTTTAGCCATCTGCGCTACGAGGCCCCACCGGAGGCCGGCAGTCTAATCACCTTCTCAACAACCGATAATTATAACACCCCGCTGAAAAAAGTAAAGGGAGCAAGCCTCTATTGATTAGTTTGCACTGTTCAAGCATTATATCAAATCTCCATTTTACAGTCAAGATACAATGATATTCCGTAAGTGATACCAGGAGGATGTGCATGACGTAATTAGATTTTTCTTTCAATAATGTTCGAGAGCAAGCATTTGGTTTACACTAAGGTCATTACAGCTATCCACGGGCAAACAGACTTTCACACAAAGAAGGAAGTAGCAGACAGCATTCATCTAAGTAAAAAAAAATGGGGCATGCTGATTACCATGTGAATAGCATGCAAGACATTTTCCATTAACAGGGGAGTACAAGTGACACGCATTTACTGAAACAATTTGAGTTGTCCATGAATTTAAAGCTGAGTGCAAACAGAGGTGCGCACTTTTCCACATTTGACAAATACGTTCCTTCTTCGTTAATTTGAAAAGGCAATCAAAGGTTTGTCAAAACCTATGTTTTGCTAATTGACTCCAGAAAGGGACTAAAAAAGCCAGCAATTGAGGAGTAATTAAAATAGTATTCTCCTGTATAGATATGCATACGAAAGTTGGAAAAAGAAGCAAATTCTAATTACATTTGTTTGGCTTTTTGGTTTATGGGTGGAATTGTATTAACTTACAGAATGTTCCTATTCGAATAAAGATTTATTTTGCCATTACGTCTGTTTACTGGCAACGTTTTCCGTCAGTCTAATTTAGCAGTTATAATTAAACAAAGTATATTGCACAGTAGGTTCCTTTCGGGCAGATATTTGAAGTTATACTAACTGAATATAAGCCTTGGGAAACAGTGCAAGTGAGCTGGCTGAGGAAAGCTGAGCTCAAATAAAGAAAACCCCTGGGATTGTACACTTGTATTGGAAAGATAACTTATACTGATTTCAGTCAGACTGCGTAGCAGCCGGACAACACGGCTTTGGTTTATAAAACGATAATTTTTCTTAGTTTTATGTACGAATCCCAAAATAAATAAGAGCAAACGCCGTTTTAGCGAGTGCATTTTAAAAAGAATTGAGTCTGTTTGGCTCGGAGCCAAACTTTCTATTAATAATAAACACATTGCATTTTAGTTTTCACAGTGTATCAGTTGCATCTCCTAAATCACCTTCTATTAATATTTGATGCAACTAAAAAACGTTAAATGCCGACATATTGGACAGTGTACTTGTCATTCTTCATACAGTATACTTAAACTATTACTTGAGAGTTAAATTTTAGCTATAAAAACACTGACAAAGACTTGAGTCGGTCAGGAAGTTATAGAGAAACTAGCTAAGAAGAACTGAAATATCCATAATAGTATATCTCCAGTTCAGAGGAGTACCAAAACGCCCAGCTAGGTAATTAATCTATCGTATGAAGTGATTATGATCATGTTAATATGGCTTGTGTGGTACGGTTCTGCCTAAGTTTGGCAGCAATCGGTGTTCGGGTAGTTAGCTTCATTTCGCCATTAATTTGCCTTCGGAGGCTAATATATTCCGGCCTTTTAATCCAGAGAGGCGCACTTTACTTGCAGTTAAAAAAGAACTTTTTTCGGACAGGTTTGAAGGAATAGTCACTGACGCTCTTCACTGCATTACTGTGCTACTTTTTTAAACGATGTGCAGAAGAACCCGGCTTTTTATAGTCAGCATCCTATGCCCTTCACAGCAAGTCTAAGTTCCAATATTTGTTCTCACGCAGTAACTGGTAGAGGTTTTGTTTTTTCTAGGTGCCTGTAGTAGGCTCCCAACTGTGTAATCCTTTACTCGCAAAAATGCGTTAGCGGCATGAGAATGGAAACTAGGGCAAAAACGAGAGCATATAACTGTGGAGTTGTAGTTTCTACCAACTGGTAATACCTAAAATCGTGTTGTATATCAGCTAACCAGTTGTTTTAGGTATATAGCAACACGCATATTAATTAATATGATGGGCGGTTTGATGGTTGTTTGTATGCCTTCGCCCTCTTAAGGTCAGCAGCACTCAGTCTCTACTAAATTAAAAGGAGGATTTAGTTTTTATACCCCTCTGTTTATATGTCAAAACCAAACATTGAATAAAAGTTCAACTAACCTACGAGACCCTTCTCACGTTGCACTTTTAACAACTTTGGTAAAACGAACAGGGTGTCTCTGAAATGGTTCAAAAAAGAGTAATCAGTAATTAGTCGTGGAGCCTTTTCAAGGAAATGAGCAAAGGGCATTGAGTAATACGAGATTATTTAAACGTGCTGTTAATGCGATTATAAATGTATTTATATCCATAAAGGAATATTTGAAAAACACGAAGCGGACGGAAAGATGGTCTTGTCGGAATTATATATAGGTGCTAAAATAACCTGACATAAACACAGACCTTATTATTTTAGCTTAAGGAGTAAAAATATCCAATACCTCAGCCTTGAAAGCATTACTAAAGTGCAAATCCCGAAAAAAGGTCCTTTCGGTTGGTGTCGACTTTAGTTAGCAATACATAAAAATTTGCGTTACGAAGTCTATCCATGTGCAAATTTTTATCTGCTCAGAAAACGTTTCCAAGGTTTTTCTAAGCAAAGTTTTAAAACATGCGCCTTTTCTGTGGCGTAGTTGTACGTAATAAGCAATAACGTTGGACCGAATACTGTCTCGTTTTTATCTTAACCTTCACTTAATAAATTTTAATTTTTAATTTTGACGCTAGGGGAACATTGTCATAGGGCTTGGAAATGCAGCTTAAGTAATTGCATATTGCATTTCAATTTATAAATTCTAAATATTTCAGAAGTTGTCAAATATAAGGAATTTATTTGCCCAAATAAGCACTTAGGTTTCCAACATGAGCAGCCAAAAATGTAGTTACGCAATGACTGGGAATGTTTTGAATTATTTAGACATTGCACTCAGGGAGCATAAACAGCCCCAATTAAACAGTACAGACCAATCTTTTTCGGCTACCTAACTAACTTCACATAAATTGATAAAAGCGAATTTTTTTATATTTTAAACCTGTTTTACCGGGGTTGGTAAACGTTATCCATCAGTAAAACTGTAATTGAACTTAGTAGGCACCTAGATTATGCTGGCAAATGCTTATTATGAGAAAGTTTCTTTCAGTTGGTAAATAAAGTAGGAGTGTTTATCAATATGACCGTATATTTAAATGGCAAAGAATATTTTATAGATGCGATCGCGTTTTGACCAATGGTAAAATAAATATCGTCCTTCAATGATGCACAAATAATCGATTTCGAATGCCTTTTAATAGTAACCTGCAAACGTTTATGACTACATGCTACCTCGAAGCGTAAGACATTTGTACTATTTTAAATATACTTAGTATAGCAAACGAAACGCCCAACAATGCTCTGTTAAGTTTAAAAAACTTTAGATATATGCCAATTTTTAATTTAATTGTTCACTTAAAGGTATACTTATTTTCTCATGCAGAAGCTCATAAGAACTTTTTTATTTGTTTCTTTTAGCTCTCCGCGTAAGTTTGTATTTTTTGCCTTTGCTGTTAAAAAAGTCTAACCACTGTACGAAATAATGGCCTAAGACAAATGTCCTTAGATTACATTAAGCTACCTGAAAATATGTGGTCGCAAGCTGCTCCTTCTAGGCGTTTTATCTATATTTATCTCACAGCACTACCAAATATGTGTAAATGCGAATATAAAGTATGCAAGCCTACCATAAAAACATTTCAGGATTCTGACATTTAGAAGGCTGCATTGTGCAGTTTAGTCAGGTGTAACCCGGAATAATTTGCCAGTGTGGCCTACAGACACACCGGTCATAATACGAAGTGATGCCCTTATGCGCCTAATGATCTCCGCATAAGAGGGCTTATCTTGATTGATGAAAGACCACAGACACCAAGTTACAATCCACATTCAATCATTAGGTCAGTATCGCTGTCCACATAGGTTTATTCTCTAAGCGTAAGAAGGCCCTAAATAGGCAGCACTCCAGCATCCATTGGAAAAGGTTATTATGCGCCGCTAAGCATTTGAGTGCTTGAATGGCAATCTGTTTTTTTTGAAATAAAAATTAAATCCGGGCCAGTATAAACGTTATTTTAGACAGTAAAGTTTCCGCGAACACGAGAACTAGAGAAATATATCTACTATTGGTTTTGTTTTCGTCCATTCCAAAGGAGGCGGATACACTAAAGATGCAGACTTTGTCAGTTAGAAGACCTACCTTCCGATCATTCCTTTTAGAACAACTGTTAAAATGCTTATTTTGGCAGGCGCCGCTGAAAAATATACAAACCGACAGTTTAAACCGGCAAAAAGGAGTTTTGTCCAACGAAAACTCCCGATAGACTTTATTGTCGAGGTTACCTCATAAAAATATGCACAATAAGCGACGAATAATCAGGTCGGCTCCCTAAGATTACAAAATTAAAATAACATGTACAACTATTAAGGTAGTATATCGTTGCAATACGTTTGCTACGCCTGAGCAGACTTGCATAGGTTATCAACAGACGGAAAAGTTAGCGAGCTCTATGTCATACTGCTAGAGCCCGTTCAAATAGAGCCAAGTTTAATCTTCGCTACTTTTTTCCTTCGTTAAATTCACCTACATAACATTTACAACTCCAATAATCTTTTAACTTGCTCATAAAATAGACTTACTTAATATCGCAAAGTCGCAATTTTTTACCTGTACGCAAGTCGGCACCTCAAATCTTTTATTTGTCTTAGCAGCTAATCACTAAATTGTTTGTTAACACAGTCAATCCCAAACGAGCGAGAAAATCAGGAAACGCGCCTATTTTCCATTGAAGCGCGTCTTTCATTTCGGTGAGGTGGCAAACCTATGTTATAAAGTTTTCTCGAGTACAGCGAAGCTAGAAAGAATAAGGGCTATTTAAAATGGCAATTCAAATCCATGACACGACTTTGTGTGGAAGTTCTTTCTAGCTGCATGCGTGGGAGATTGTTCAAGTGTCAAGCCGGGGATGCACTTTAAGTCTGCTACTCCCTTTGGGTGGAATTACGTCGTTGTCTATGCTAAAAAACATTTGGACAAAAGTCTCATCGGACCTCTAAAAATAGTTGACTGATTGCAGATTATTTTATTTGCACAGCAAGTCGAGTCCGATTTGTGAAAGTTTGCAGGATAAACCAAACAAAGAACTTAAAATAAATCTAATTTTTCTGGATCGTTTTGTTATTCACAATATTATCTCTTACTAGATCCACTCAAAGGACGACGGATTATTCACGGAGAGGACGAGAGCGGAATGCATGAAACAAGTTTCTTTGAAGTAGGCGAAAGGTAAATTCGGCGTTTTTTGATGTTGAGCTTTTTTGATATCGCTCAGTGTACCTAAAATATAGTTATCAGAAAACAGTGTTTTAAACATGATCATATTCACATTTCTACCTTTTGACTTCGTCTTACATGTTGTTGAAGTTCAATTAATGCGCCTTAATAATTAATTAAAGTATTCCTAGACAGCTAAGTTTTTATTTTCTTCAGTGGAAATAGATTGGTCCCCTTAGAGCAGAATGCTGTCTGCAGTATGCCTGCGAGTCTAGATCTGCCTCTTCTTAACGACCATTCCCCCCGTTTGGCTATATAGTTAATTAGTTTGCAAAATCAGAGTGTGGCGGACCTACGAGATAACAGGTCAAAAGAAAACTAAGAGGTTTTACTATAGGTGCATAGGTTTGACCCAGTAGTCAACAGTAATTTATATTTCACCGTCATCCAAATTGGCAACAGTCACCAAATTTCCCTTCGTTCGGTTCCTCATTGCAAAAAGAATAAGACACATTTGATTCTTTCTACTGATTCAATCAAAAAGCGATCAGTTGCTGCCCTTTTGCCGCCCTGCTACCATAAAGGGCTAAAATATCTGACAAAGGAGACAGCTTGAATTATTTTCATCAATTATAACATTATACTATTATTGCACAAATGGCTATAAAACAATAACTCTTGTTACCACCCCTTCTTCACAAAGCTCTATTTCCTCTTTCTTTCAGCCAACATGATGACGAAAACAGGGCACTAATGGCTATTCGGGTAGGTGTGGGTGTTAAGTAGCAAAGTATAGGGAAATGGGCTGTGGCTTTCGCCAATCGTTTTCAAAGATTGTTAGAAAATGTTGATTTCTCAAACTACCGAAGTGTATGCCGTATCCCATAATTAAGATTTCGTCCATGAGTTAATTACTGATAAGTTTATGTTGGTTTATCTACATAAAAATACGAATGAGGTTTTCTTAAACACATTTTTAGTAGCAAAAAGTTTTTTTTAAAGTTAAATTGACCTTTTAGACATACCCAGTAATCTGCCAGTTCATGACAATACCTATCAGTTGAGTTCTGGAATATTTATGTTTGTTAAATCAAGCGTCTTAGCCAGGATACTATGAATACTTATTCCGCACACAATAAAAGCACGTGTGCATTTTGATTCTTTAGACAGCCCATGTAAGAGGATAGATATTGTCAGCCAACAAATCCCAAATCCCCTTCATTACAAACTCATCATATATGTATTTAGGTCCTGCTAAAGAAGGGCTCGGAAATAAGATAATAATTTGCGGGAAGTGGTTAATAACTTTAATTCAGTTTTGCATACAGTATCACGCCTACGACCACAGTATGTTTCAAGATATTCAAATAGACCCAACAGAGTGAATGCTATTTGTCAAACTTTAAGTGACCATTAAATTAAACTAAATAGGCTCATATATTTCCTTTTATTTTTGTCCTCTCGAGAGTACGAATTGTGAAAAGGGAACTTAGTCTATTAGATTTTAGTAATAGACATGGTGAAACAAGCAGAATACCCAACTAAAATATACTCCTAGAATCTTACCCTTATAATAGGTTTGCTGCCCGCAAAATGGACCGTGCAGGTATTTCTGAGCGAAAAGGTAACCGAATAAATAGGTTACAAGCCTTGAACTGAGGCTGTATGTCTCGTCAGTTGTTGCATCTTATTCAACCTATGGTTATTGATTCCATTAATCACATCTGATACATACTGGTAAAGCAAATGCAGAATGAGACTTGCGCTGTCCTTGCGATATAACAAGGCCGTAAGTTATTAAAGCCTTATAGAAGTTGTGTATCGGAATGATGTCGAGCAAACGGATGCTTACCAGAAATATCAACCTGAAATTCTTACATTCACCTGAAGCGGTGAATCTGCACAGCTGTCTCAAACAAAGACAGTTGTTTTCTTATCCAAATGATTTGACTCCAACTGTTAGTTAGTAAATATAAAGAAGAAGATAGAATTAGACTTTGTTACCGATCTAACTCGAATACAAAGATCTTTAATAACTAGAACGGCTTAGAGAATATGGTCTGTAAGGTTGTTGTCTAATGGAATATTTTGGACCACTACAGGACTAAGAGGAAACTGCAAACAGGTGTTTTAATAAGACACGGAATGGGAATGGGCAAATATTTTCCAAAATTAAACCAAACATTACTCTTGACTGTAAGTATAATATCCCTGGGATTTGGCACAATGCCCGCTATATTAGAGAGCGGAAGTACCAACTCCCATGACTTACTCCCCCTTTTAACGTGCTTCAACGAGTGTCTTAACGCTATAAGGTACCCGGTATTGAAATCAACTTGTCTTTATGTATGCGGAGACTAGCACAGGTGCAACACACCTAGGTGTGTCTTGTTGCCATTCTTTGCCCAACGCCTATATTCTTGACTTTGACCTGCCATTGGCACAGGAGAAATCTAGGTAGTGAGAGAGTTAGATAACTGTTATTGTTTTCTTTTTCATTCTAAAAAGAATCCACCTGTTAATTACCAGTGCGCTGGTGGCATTCGTAACAGACAAATGTAACCCTTCGTAATTGGTTAGCAATGAACATTACGCAAACTGTTAAGCACGTCAGTGGTTTATGTGGTTTGCCAGAAGTTTCTTTTCCACTTTTATAATCAGCCGTTCTCCTCATTTATATCCGAAAACTAAGGTCCAACTTGAACCCAGCTGGATGTGTTGCACCTGGCAGAAAGAGATCTGTCTAAAAAGCTTTTGAAGACTGTGATTTCCATTGAAAAGAAATAAAAGACATAAATCGAAATAGCCTTAAACGGATTTTTCCCTGCTATCCATCTTTCACAGGATTGTGAACGTCAGTTTGCAGCGCATCTGGCTGTAGCTTCGGAGAGGCACCGAGAGGGTGCTAGGATGGTCAAAGGTCCGGAGGGTACCATAGTCCCCGATCCAGCTCCGGGTTCTATCCTCTCCTCCTTCTCGTCACTTCTTTCCGAACTGCCACTTTATCAGGGCTACGGGATCATCGGCCAACACGTATGTTCAACCTCAATCTAATATATTTTATTTAACTTGGTTGTGTACAGCACTTTAGTAAACCATTTGAAGGAGTGTGGAACTTTTAGAAATACACACAATGTTTTTAAGATTTCCCACTGACCGGTGGTAGTGAGCGCGAACATTCTAGATGATTCACGCTTTATTATAGAACATAGTTAGTTTAGAAACAAAGCGTGAAGCCGGAATCATATGGTCAGTCATCCTGTGGACACAGTACAGAAATTACTGTCCCACGTTTGTAATTTTTAATAAACTTGAGCATATCAAGGTCGTCGAGAATGAAGAGTTGAATTCAAGGTTGTAAAAGCAGTAACAGAACTTACAAGGAATGTTTCATAAGATAGAAAATTTATTGACGTTTAAATCCACTAACCGGATATTTGTATCAGTGGACATGCATAGCAGATGGAATTGACTCGGTCCAATTACTGAAAATGCGGAAGAAACTTGCATGAGAAGGTTAAATCATAACCCAAACAGAAAAAAAGAGATTGATAAATTGACTGCAGAAGTCTCCTGTTTTATCTGTGTCGGCTGTAAAAAAAACCATCATTCGCACTTTAGCAATATTATCTAAAACAAATCGATCCTCAAAACACTAGGTGCGGCGACACGCTTTTGGGTTTGGTCAGAAAAATGGTTACCTACTCACAGGGCCGTTTTTTTGTTGGAATTGATGTGAACTATGTTATGCAGTAATTTCCAGTATACATCATTTTATATGAAAAGTAGCCGTTTTCGGGTTCTAGGCTCGGTAAATACAAAGAACTAGTTCTTCAGCTATTTTAACAGATACTGTTTAGAACTTCCATGCAGTCAAAACGTGCATCAAATTGTGTTTGCTTAATGTTAAGTCTCCAACCTAAGGACCCGACTAACACAGTAGAGTTTTATTTAGACAAAGCAAAGGTATATTCGCAACCAATTGATCTCGGTTACTTTTAATGCATTCATCACGACTGGTTGAGCAGCTAAGGCTATGCCCAGACAGGATAGGGCCTTGAAGTAGAAGCAGCACGTAACCAAATCATTTCAGTCTTTATGAAAAAAAACACCGCTGATAATCTAAGATCCCGATCTGCCGGTCAGCCACGATTTGGTAAACAAGTCTGGGAACTGGCGACTAGGAAAAGTCGGTAAGTTAGGCCTTGGCAGAGTGTTCACAAATTACGTAGCACATCGCCGTTGACAATCTATAAGGACTGAAGCATCCTATACAAGTAACATATTCTTTAAACTAATAGCAGGTTGTTTCCAGAGATTTCGCCAAAAACAAGCAAAAACCGCGAGCATTTGATCAGATCTTCGATGTCACCTTTATCTTGTCTGTTGGCAGAAAGTTTTTTCCAGACAAAGGTTACTTTTATACTAATTATCTCACACGGCAAAACGTATATCACTTACAAGGAAACCCCAAATCGGGACTTTTCGTCGCTGAGTACAATTTTGTGTGGGAGTCAGCCAGCTACGAAGAGCCATTATTACAGTTCAAACTCATGCTACATGGATCGCGGCCTACTGCAACCCCCGGATTGCCTACTAATCCGAGTTCAGGCATCCACTCTATTTTATAGTTAAAGAGACTTTCTGTCAGGACGCAACCTTGACGGATGTCAAGGATTACGTAAAAGAAGTCGTTTTCATCGGCTTTCACTAAAAGGTTTATCATCGCTTTATGACTTTAAAGTAGAATCAGTGGATTCAAATTTGACCATAAGTCATCATACTGTGTGCGTGAACACTCGAATGCAGATGGAAGGACTTATAGTAGGAAACTGTGATATAAGCAGCGATAAACGTATTTGAGAAGTCCTTGCGATCCCTTGCTAAAAGATCCACCGATTCTTTGTGGCTTGCACGCCCTTATACAGACGAAAATGAAGAATAAGTATGCTAACGGGGTCAAGGTTGAGCTCTAAGGTTTGACGAGAAAAGTGTGTCATCTGACGCGCTCAGTTAGAGTCCCAGTACCAAGGGTTACTATACCTGATCGCCACCGAGAGGATAACGAGCACGTGGCGCAATGATAAGGGCTTAGGACTCCAAACCAACAGGTCACGTGTTCGAGCCCCAGGGGTCGTAACGTCTGACGCTGCGTATGACTGATTGATAATGACTTAAATGCTAGAAAGTTGAAATGTGCATCAGTCTTCAAAATTTATTACAGCTGTAAGGAGAAAGCCGGGTCGGCTCGAGAACTAACAGCTGCTAGTTGCCGACAAGGACAGATTGTCAGAATAGTTTATGTTCACACTATGTGCAGCCTCCTGACATCACTAATGCACGACACACCTTTAAGCTCTCAAACAGTTTAAATCAAGTTTGCATGGTCTTACGATGCAAGGGCCTAAGGTAAGAATAATTAGCCTAGATGGATTGCTTTGTTAAGCACTGATTATGACCCCGAACCTCGTGACAGGTATAAAGGACAGTTTTTATCAGTTCGAAGATAAAATATTTAAGTCTACATGTCGCAGGAGTTGTTGACGTGTGTGTTAGTAGGACAATGGAAACCGTTAGGCAGAAGTCAGTTTTATTAACGGGATTCTTCAGCTGTTCGATATTAGTTTTCTAAACAGAAATTTTAAAGCCACCTCTAATATGGACCTAAACCGAGCTCGAACGATACTGCTGCAGGAGCCATTATCAAAGCGGTTGTTAGCCTCAAGTCATTCGCGGACAACGAACTGTCAGATGTATCAGCACGCTCAGCTGATCAAGTGTTCGATGCGCTTTTGAGTGCAACCAGCATTTTTATGTCAAGTGATCGTAGGAATTCCGGCACTTCGAAAGCCAGCATTATGAGGATCAGCTGAAGCTTACCCTATATAGCCTCGACCGTAAAGGCCGGATTACACAAAACGACAGGCACTTAAAACAGCATCCGGAAGACGCACAAGTTCAATCCTTGGCGATACCGGGTGCGTGACACAAAAATAAATATTTGGGCAAAATTTCTCAATTCGCCTGATAAACTCTGTCTACCGGGACTCTCAGTGACAACACAACAGGGGAGATGCAGATAGTCCTCTATATCTGGCGCTTTAATTTAAAACCAATAAGAGCTACTAAGACAGATTTTTGCAGGCAGACCTTGCCCATATCGTAGCATAGTAACTGGCCTTATAGATGTCATAATTCGCGCGTTATCCGTGCTTTCTAACATAACGGTCACTGACCTTAGCCTTAAGAAATGTTTAGTTTGTTGGGCGAGTTCCCTCAATGTGACAGCATGTGTGCTCAAAAACCATTTGCGTTTGGTAACAACGATTGTCCCTGCTTAAATATTCAATTTCCCGATGAACCGTCCTTTCACATCTTTCGTCACAAAAGGCGGTTCCAAGAACATACATCACTTTATTTCTTAGAGGAATAAATGGTCTTATTTGTTCTGCTTGCCCCATATTTTTA